CCACCTTTGTTAGAGGAGCTTACAAAACTTGAACAAATGGAAGATTTCGGAGAATCGAAATAGAAGGTATAATAATTGATTATGCTAATTGCGTCATTTTGTCCGCATCCAATTAAAATGCCAAGCCAAAGAAAAACATGTTGCAATAACCAAAAAATGACCTCTTCATTAATGACATTTTAGGTCAACCTAAAGCCAACTCATCCCTTTGAACATTTGTCAAAGAGCTGTAACCCTGAAATCATAAAAAGAGTTATTGATTCATTTGATATACTTTGAACTCATGTTTACAATTTGATTCAACTGCGAACAATATTTACAGAATTTTCATCCTTTTCCCTCCTAAAACAAGAAAAATGAGAAAAATATTTTCAAACAGGACAGTCTCAGATATGAAAGGTCTGTAAAGCCAAAGCCCGGAAAAGAGAATGGGGCACGATCGATTCCAAGGACCAGATTGGCAGACAAAGCACGAGACTCCATCCAAGAAATAACACATAATTTATTCATGTTGCATGCATCTTAGACATACTTAGGTGCATCACATTCATCATTTTAGCATACATAATTTTGCAGATTTCAGAGTCAAGCTTCGACTTCAGGACGAAGGTTACTCGACTTGCAAGCACCTTTAAAGAACGATGGTGTAACTCGGCAGCAAGAAGCTACACCTCAACCGACTTTACATAACTACAGATCTCAGAACCAATTTCAGATGGGTTCGAGAATCAATTCAGATCAAATCTAGTTCGGCTCAAACTCACCATGAGCAACATGTTTTCAGTTAACACTTTCAAGCCAGATTTCAATTCCACGACGGAAGATATCCGGCTGTCAGAATTTATCAGTAAGTTTTTCCAGACCAGCTTAGGGGAACCACCTGAAGAATCATGACCGTTTTCGACCCGTAAAGGGAAGCCATTTTTAAACAAACTATTTGCAGCTTAGCTCAAGGCCAGAAGGGCTACCTGCCACCAAGACCTTCGAGTTCGACTACGCTCAGCTCCAAGGCACATCATTTGCAGTATAGCTTAAGTCTAGAAGAGCTATCTGCCAAAGACCCTTAAGTTCGATTACACTAAGCTTCAAGGGCATAACATTTACAGCATAACTCAAGGCTAGAAGTGTTATCTGTTAGCAAAGACCTTTGAGTTCGACTACGCTCAGCTCCAAGGCACATCATTTGCAGAATAGCTTAAGTCGAGAAAGGCTATCTGCCAAAGACCCTCGAGTTCGACTACGTTCAGCTTCGAGGGCATATCGTTTACAGCATAAATCAAGGCTAGAAGGGTTATCTGTCACCAAAGACCTTCGAGTTCGACTACGCTCAGCTCCAAGGCATATCATTTGCAGCACAACTTAAGTCTAGAAAGGTTGTCTGCCAACCAAAGACCTTCGAGTTCGACTACGCTCAGTTCCAAGGCACATCATTTACAGCATAACTCAAGGCTAGAAGGGTTATCTATCACCCAAAGACCTTCGAGTTCGAGTACGCTCAGCTCAACGGCACATCATTTGCAGCATAACTTAAGTCAAGAAGGGTTATCTGCCAACCAAAGACCTTTGAGTTCGACTACGCTCAGCTCCAAGGCATATCATTTACAGCATAGCTTAAATCGATAAGGGCTATCTGCCAAAGACCCTCGAGTTCGATTACACTCAGCTTCGAGGACATATCATTTGCAGCACAACTTAAGTCTAGAAGGGTTGTCTGCCAACCAAAGACCTTTGAGTTCGATTACGCTCAGCTTCGAGGGCACATCATTTGCAGCATAACTCAAGGCTAGAAGGGTTATCTGTCACCAAAAGACCTTCGAGTTCGATTACACTCAGCTCAGAGGCAAACCAGATTTACAGCATAGCTCAATGCAAGAAGGGCTATTCGTCAAAACAATTTGTCGAGTTCGGTTCCATTCAGCTCGATGACACCTCAATTCACACTACTGTCCGGTTACAGTCGAGGTTTTCATATCAAGAAGAAGACTTGGGTTAGCCGTGCCTTAGTGACAATAAACCGTTTTTCCGGCAGTATAGCTTAAGACGAGAAAAACTATTTGTCAACGAAGACCTTCGGAGTTCGATTTTATTCAGCTCGAGGGCCTATCAACCACAGGGTCGAGTCAAGAAACTACTTTCAAGTCGAATTTTCCAACCCAGATCTTTAAACCAAGAAAAAGACCGAGGCGGACTACAACGAGAAGCCACATCCCGATTCAAATCCCGAACTGCGACTTCAATTCTATATCATTTCGAGATGGACTCGACTTCGCGACGGAGGAGCCATCCGCAACCCAATTCGACAGGGAGTTATTTTTTTCAACTCCACAGAACGAAAATTTGTGTCTTTTTATCTTTGTCCTATTTTTCGTTCCACGAAAAAGGACAAAGAGGGGCAGCTGTAGACACTAATTTTCGTCGACATATTTTTTTCCCTTTATATGTACCTACATATTTATATATATACATATTTTGAAACTACGTATATAATATATAGTTTTTAAAACTATATAATATATAGTTTAAAAAAAACATTTTAGAAAATATATATAATATATAATTTTTAAAATCATTTTGAAAACTTATATATATATATAGTTTTTGAAAACATATATATTATAGTTTTGAAAACATTTATATATTATATAGTTTTTAAAACGTTTTTGAAAACTTATATAATATTTTTTTTTGAAAACATGTTGAAAACATTCGTATATTATATAGTTTAAAAAAACATTTTGAAAATTTATATATTATATGTTTTTGAAAATATTTATGTATATATATATTATTTATTATTATTATTTATTTTATTGTTTTGGTCTTTTCTAGGTCCAAGTTCAGGGTCCATTTTTTTAGTCCAACACAGTCACGGCTCCAGCCCGTAGGACAGGCCTGATCCAGCCTGTTGGAGTTTAGGGTTTGGGAACCCTAAAACATGTTCAGTCACCGCGCCGCACGGGAGTCCAAGGGTCATGGGCGAAACGGCCGGCCGTTATCCCGGGACTGACCCATCCTGGGATGGTCGGTCAACCACGAACAGAGCACTCCACAATATCCGGGATTCTCAACGGCCGGTGGGGGTTATAAAAACCCACGGCCAAGCCACTGCCAGGAGGGGGGATCACAGTAAGCCGAGGGCTCAAACCCACCGTACCATCAACCACAGAACAGAGATAACCCATCGAGAACACCACACACAGAGCCATCACAAAACCAACCATCGAGAATCACATAACCGAGAGAACATCGGCCACGGGAAACCAAGAACCCATAACATCACAAAGACCATCAACACAAAAACCACCAAAATACCAACAACCGAGAACCCACAAAAACAGTAAACAAATCGACCAACAACAAAGGTCGAACACAACCAAATACACAAAACCGAAGTACCAACCAAAGGCCTCGGAGAAGCTATCGGAAAACCAAAGGGCATCGGTTTTAAGGTAAAAGACCCGAACTTTAGGCGTAGATCTACGCCGTTGGGGGTCCCTTTAGGGGAAACGGGCTTCGGATCGGGGTTTAGAGTAACAAGGTGAGTGTTTCGGGCTAAGTGGTTTTTCCGGCCACCGCCGGCAGTGGCCGATATGGTGGCCGGCGCGACGGAAGGGACACGAAGCGGTGGCCGGATCTTGGCCGGCAGTTAGGCTCTAGAGAGAAGCCAGAGAGAAAACTTTTCTCTCTTTAGTAGAGAGAGAGTGAGAAAGGAAAAATGAGAGGGTTGGGCGTTATCTCCCTCTCATATGGGTCTTTTATACAGCTGGTGAAACGACGTAGTTTCAATTGGGGGTATTTGCGTATTTTACATGCGGGTAAACTACAGCCGCGGTCCCTGTAAGCGATGCTTCTTCATTTTGGCCATAGAATTTAATATTTTAATTTGGATTTCGGATTTATTATTTTTTTCATTTTGGTCCCTTTTATTTATTTATTTATTTATTTATTTATTTATTCATTTACCTATATATATGTATATACTTTTTGGTTAATTTTTTTTCGTTTTACAATAATTAATGTTTTATTTCATTTTTTATTTCAATTTCACTTTAGTTTGTTTTATCGTATTTTCATCATCATCTTATCTCTATTTAGTTATTTTATTATTTTTATTTTATTTTTTTTTACTTCTTTTTATTTTTTTATTTACAATATTATCTTGGTATCTTATTTATTTACTCACTATTATTATAAGTATTATTATTTTCTTTTTTGGATGTATTTAATTTTCATTTTTTGTTATTATTATTTTTAATATTTTCATTTTTTTTTCAACCAATCAAAGGTAAGTGATGTGAATCGGGTTTTTAAATTTAAATTTAAATTTTTTAATTCTTGCAATTAAGACAACCGATAAATTAATTGGTACCGAAAGGGCGGTTCAAGGGTGCTAATCCTTCCTTGACCGTAACCGACTCCCGAACTCGACACGTTTCTGGTACAACGCAGATCAGGTAAGAAATAAGGTGTCCGATCAACCCATTTTTTTTAAAAAAATAAATGATCGGTGGCGACTCCAGTCCATTCTCCTAAGTCAAAGCCTAATTCCGGGCACAACCGACAGACGGTTCCGACAAATTGTATTTTTACACTAAAAAAACTTGCTTGGAGAGACATTCTGAAACGAAGTCTTACTTCGAGTAATCAATTGATGACTCACTTGTTATCCTGGAATTTTATTGAGGTTTAGGAATATATATATATATATCCATGTCTATTATATGACTAATAAATAGGGATGGCAAAAAAAAATTTAGACCCGACGGAGAAAATCGAAAATCAAATTAAACGGGAACGGAGAAAAATTGTTTATGCTAAACGGGGACGGGTTTGGTAATTCCCGTCCCGATTACCCTCCCCGATAAATATTAAAAATAATTATATATATATATAATATTAATAAATTTAATTTAAATATATATATACCCGACCCGATACCCGTTTAAATAACCGTTTATGCTAAACGGGATACCCGTTTCCCCGCGGTTTTCCCCGATTACCCGATGAGGATACCTGTTAAAATCCCTACGATTTTTTAAGCGGAGACGGGTAAGGGTTTTTTAAACGGGGACGGGGGACCAATACCCGGCCCGTTGCCATCCCTACTAATAAAACTATAATATTTTGTAATTAAAATTAGATTTATAATATTAAAAAAACATATAAAAATAAATTAGATGTACTGTGAAACATTTGATGAGGTATTAATGTGAGGATCACGAAGTCTTTTTATTGATCTCTTAACTAAAACGTTAGATGTGAAAGTGATTCATTTGAGGAAGGGATGAGCTTTAAATCCATTGATCAAAAAAATTCATCATGAATATCTCATTTAATTTTCCAGATTTTATACTGTCAAATGATATTCATGATAATTTAAGATTTAAATAATCTTATTAATATATATATATATATATATAATCCATTAATTTTATTATAAAAAGAAATATATCTAATTATAATGGAAATTTATAATTATAATAGTAAATGAAGTATATAATTAAGACATTTTCCTAAAATTATTGACACAAACTTAGTAACTTAAGATCACATAAGGATTGTACAAATAAAGATTAAAAAAATTTAATCAACGCTCGAACAAAGATAGATATAAACAGATTTAATCGCATCGGTAAACGAACTACAAAATAGATCAAACTATTAAAAGACCACCGATAGAATCGTAAATTAAAATCTAAGAACGTAAAAAAACCATCCACGAACTCCAATTAAGTATCGATAAATGTTTTCATCGTGACTATATTAATATTATATTCCACCATACCATTTCACAATTATTATAATTTTTTTATTTAATTTTAAAATGTAATTTTTCACAATGATATTGATAGCATTCTAAATAATAATATTCCGAATTAACTACAAAAAAGTAGAACAAAGGAGCTCTCGTTGTCATGTTCCATCACAGAATTCAAGCAAGGTCCATGCCATGGCCAGGAATCAAGCAAAATACACCAATAAAAATTAACAATCCAAGTATGCAGATTATTCACTATACCATGACCACCTCCCAATTATGCAACGACATTTTTCAGATTACATCCTTAAGCCGATTAACCGGCTAGTCCCAGTTTCGATGTGAGCCATGCGCAGACCTCGTCCATCTCCTCCGGGATCGTATAGTGACCAAGCCTACATTGTTCATCGAAGGACTCCGTCAAAGTCGATAAGTTGTCGAAAATATACAAAAACAGGAAAGCTTTTTCTGTTAGAATATGAAAATATGTACCCATTGTAGGATTTAAAGGTCGAGTTCTGAAATCCATTTGAACTTAGCGCCTGAGAAGATTTCTCACCAAATTTATATGGAACCATTTCATCTCCTGCAACTCAAACATGTTATATATAAATATAATAACCTTTGATGGTGCCAATCATGGAATCACAACTGAAAACGAGGGACAACTGGATCGGTAACATGATCATAACCGCCGAGCTAAATTAGCTAATTACCGAGTGTCTTAAATATGACCGAAAACCAGGTAAGGTCCTCTTATGAATTGAATGTACACAACATTAAGCTAACAGCGGTAACTACGTAACAGTGGAATACAGTGCTAGTACTGTTACTCGTACACTGATCCCTACGAAGCACTATTGTAGATTAACCCACTACTTTTCGGGATTGCTTTCGAGACTATAAATACCAGACACCGTATCGGGCATAATTCCATGATAGCATAAAAGGTGGTGATATAAATACCTTTTCCATGGCATAGCAAAATGGGCAACGATGCAGCGCGTCTTGCAGCTTCCTCATGTCCTTCTATTTTGCTTTTCAAAGTCCTAAAAATGAAAATAAGTTTAAAAAATAAACTAGACGAATTGTGGGGAAGCATTAAGGTCATACGACAAGGTGCAATGTAGGAAACCAACTTTGAACACGGAAGCCATCCGCTAAGTCCTACAACTGCGCTCAAGTTGGCAGGATACGGATTGCCATTTCCGTATTTTCCATGAATAAAACAGGTTGCGGAGTACAAAGCGGTTGCTGCACCCATACTGAAACCTCCAATACCAAGTTTAACTGTAATTGGAAAACACTACGATTCGAACAATGTCGAAAACAATTATAATAACTAAAACTTCCATTGCTAAAACCGAAAACTGAGATCAATGCAACATTGCATTGCCTGTAAGCCAAACTAATCAAGCAGCAACTTACTTAGCAACACAAAACCTAGTAAAAGAGGTGCGAGGAAACATACTGTCAGCAGGCTCTGTTGACAACAAATTTGCAACATGTGTGGCAGCAGCATCCAAACCCTCTACATCATCAGGAGCATCTCCCGAAAGGTCTCCCACATCGAACCCTGATGAATTTCATATTTCGAAGGACCGCCATCAAAGACAAAGGTCGATGAGAGCGAAATTTAATTCATCTAGTTCCCTTCATAAGAGATTGCATCAGTACAGAATTTTAAGAATATACTTACAAGCAGTTGTTGGAAAGCCACCAAATAAAGTTATTGGTCGAGTAGGGGCAGTTGGGCATATCCATTTAATCTGGCACCAAATAATCACAAGCACGAAAAATTAGGATGTTATCAAGAAGAAATGAATCTATTAATTAATTGATAGAATATATTCTCCTAAATATCTTTGGCTACAATAATCATCCTTACATTCTGAAGAGGAAGGGTCTCCAAGAGCTGGGACCAGCTGACAACAAAACGAAACGATAAATGGGGATGAGTATATATTTAAAAAGACATCAAGCACTTTCTTTTTCACATCCTAGAGATCACAGATTATGAAGATAGGGAGACACGATAACTCAAGCGGAACCAATATAGTCTATAGGATGAAAAGATCTGCTGAAGACATATATTAATTATCAACATCAGAAGATATGAAACATTGAAACATGAAGATGCAGTAACTAGCAATTTGAAGACTAGAATCACTTGAAAATCAATAGGTATTCATATTTTATCAGCTTAAATCGTAGTTTTGCAGAAGCCTTATCAAGAAAAAGCAGCAATTCAAGACAAAAGCATAAAACAGATATGCATGAAAGGGGTTCTTTTGCATGCAAACGGTGCTATAATACAAGAACACAAATCGCATGGAGAAAATGAGCTTTCTGATATATTGACATGCCAACAAATCCCCCCAGTAGTAAGTAAAAAAACGATAACACCGGTCTCATTAATATGCAAGCTCACTAAACTAACAGAAAGGAAACAGCTCAGAATTTCTGGAAGGAAGATAAATATAATATCTTTAAGGTATTCGCTTTGTCACTGCAAATAATAGTCCATGGAAAAAAATATCATGGCCCCAACGGGCCAAATGATTTCTTGCTTCATCCAAAACAGAATGAAATAGCAAGACACAAAGATGTTAAGCACATCTTAAATTCTTGGGACTATAGTTAACGGACGCAAGCTATCATCATTTTCCTTAAAAGACTGCAAAATTGTTGAAGATAAGAACTGGAAACGATAATTGAATGCATAGAATCTAGAAAACAGAATCTACATGATATTTTGTCCTTCTAAAATTGACGGTTAAGGAGAGATGAGGAATCTGAATGTTAAATCATCTTCTTTTCCTCGGAAAACTAATCCAAATTACTGATAGTATTGATAGATTAATCTTAAATTTATTAACCAAAAACTAGAGATTAGAATCTTAGAGAGCAATGCAAAGTTTATAATACCTTGAACCATTATCACCAACGCCATGTAACCAAACTACGGTTGCTTGGTGCCTACCTTTGGGCCTAACCACATGGGTTTTTCCAAATTCAAATACCCCCCTTCTACCACCTGAAATTCAACAGAGCACAGTTCAATACTAACAGTTAAAATTGAACAAGAGGAGGAAAAACAGGCTTGTGAATTTGTAGAAAATCTACTTCGCTCAACATAAACGATAGATACCAATCTACCGTGCCTACAACGACAAACCAATTGAATCAATTTCCTTGCAAACAATGTAAATACTTATACAAGCTTGCCGGTGAGCTATGATTATAGACATTATCCCTGTGAACAAAATGGAGCAAAGCAGATAAACTAACCAGAACCAACAGAAGGACCTGTGAAGCTCATATTATCCAACCGAAAAACAGTGGCCAAACCCACCAATTGCACTAGAAGGAGCACTGATCCTGGAACGAAGAAAGAAAATATCGATATTTACTTCACATCTAATGTCAGTTTAGCAAAGTTATTAGTTTGCACTCCATTGATATATGTACCAGAATCTACAGGAAAAAAAACTTGTTTTAAAATAGGCAAATTACAACAAATTCATCATAGATTTTCTATCTGATCCAGATCACATATCTTTCAAAACCCTTGACGAAAATGGGGTTTGGACTCTAAATAAATGATGATATCCATTGCACATAATGAAAAAGAAACAAAAACATAAGATGAAAATTCACAGGAAACTAAGATTATTAGCAAGAATATATCCCAAACTGGGAAAAGATTAAAGAATGAAACTTCAAAGGTCAGCTGTTTTTTAGGATTAACTGGTTGCAAAAATTAGAAAATTTAACTCCAAACATTTCTTAAAATAAAAAGATGCAAACTTTCGAAAGTCAGACACAGGGGAAAAGAAGAGATCAAAAGGGAAGAAGGGCTTTCGCGTTTTAGGCAGTTTACCTTTTCCACTGATACGTCCGACTGGATTTGAAGACTCTCAATGGCAAAGGCTCACCACCCAGGGGGAAAAAGATCACTTCTCTTGGTCCCAATCTGAAGGCCAATTTTCTCCGATTATTTTGATTGTAACTCGTATCGTTGGAGTAAATTCTAGATTTCATCCCTGGATTCTTTTTACTCTTATTTTGGTAAGTAAAGCTTAAAAATTTTAAATTTATTCATTAAACTTTTTTTTATTCTTATTTGGGTCACTCCAGTATTAAAAATTTTAAATCATAAATGAAATGATAACATAATAATCACAAGTGTTGATATGGATCACTTTTTATTAATTTATAATTCATGTGCCATCTATGTAATTTTCTCTTTTTTTTTAATTTTATCTTCTTCTGGTAAATATTAAAATTTTATTGTTACATCATCACGCCAGTACTGCAATTGTTATTCTTTGATGTCTTCTCCAATCATTCAATATACTGATAAACACGTTTCATTGTCTCCCATGACACTATAAACCTCAACCCTAAATTTAAATCTCGTGAACCTTCAACACTCTTATTTCTAATATTCACCATTCGATCAATATGGAAGCGAAATATACAACTCGCTTTCTTCTTCTCCACTATCCCACTGTTGAGATTTAGAGGAAGATATTTCATCATATTGAAATTAAAGGTGATTACAGGATTTTTTTAACACATACATAATACAAACATAACTGTTTGATCTCAAGTTCTCTACGAAAAATAATATTCTCTTTTATCACTTAGACCTTTCAATGAATTTCACGAGCAGATACAAGACCAACCGGCTAACCGATATGGTCTATAAGAGAAGACCGATCGAAAAGTGAACAAACTAAGAAGCTAAACGGCATTTAGAAGGCATGCCAGAAGGACAAAAAGCAAAATCAAGCAGTGCACAACAGAAACAAATAGGGAAAGAAAACTTGGTGCCTGCTAATCTTTCAGACAGCATTTCGGCTTATGATTCTTGCTTGTTTCTTGTCGTTGTCACTAATAATCTTCCCACATAAAGCATCATTCTGAACCTTGAGTACCTTGTTCTCAAGTTTTAACTTGGCGTTCTCCTCCAAAAGCCCCGGTACATCACTATTGAGATTGGCACTCTTCCTTAATGAAGCGTTTTCGGCCTTCAGTGTCTCGTTTTCGAGACGTAACGGATCGGCCTGCAGTTTAGAACAACTGAGCAGAAAAATATATACCAACAAGTGTAATAACTATCAAAATATGCAGTGATTTTTGCTGGGAACTAACAATTATAGGAGTGAGGTGATCTGATATGAAAAGAGAAGAATATGCAAATGTTTTAGGGTTACAGATACTGGTCATGCTTCTAAGATGCGTTAGGCACCTACTTCGAACAAAAAAAAACTTTAGGCACCTAAAGTGAGAAAATAATATAATTTAGGCACTTATATTTCAATTAAGCCAAAATGAAAAAAATACATATATGTGAAGAGCGACAAGAAAAGAGACATACTAGATTCTGTGTAAGTGTTTCCAAAAGAACATTTTGTTTGTCGTGGGAGTGCTTCAGCTGCAGAAGATCACTCCGCAGCTGATCAATCATTGCCGCTTGCTTTGCCAAGGTCTGATTCATTGAAGCATTATCCTGTTTCAATGACTGATTCTCTTCCTTCAAAGAATCATTTTCCCTAGCAAGGTTCTCCAGATTCGATTGCATTTGCGCTTTGTTATTCTGTTTCCAAAGGAAAAGGAACATCGTTAACTATACATCAAAAGGAACAAAATCTTTATATGCATTTGGATTCTGCTTTTATTTAAATCTTCCTCTCTATATTCTAACTTTTCAAACTGTGAATTTAGAACAGAATCAAAAGGCAAAATCTCATAATGAAATTTGAATCCTTTTCCTAAGGCATATTACACGGTATCCAAATTCTTTCAAGGGAAATGAGGTAAGAGACATCAAATGTAGGCTGTAAATGAGACGAAACAATTCGTAAGTTACTCAAGTTCGACTCACTTAATACTTTGGACTCGACTTAAATTTTTAACGACTCGAAACGATCTACTTGATGTCCGACTTGAAAAAATAATATATTAAATTTTTAATTTTTTTAAAATTAAATAATTAATAGGATAAACTACACGTTTAGTACCGAAACTATCAGTTTTGATCAGTTTAGTACCTAAACTTTCATTTTTTCAAAATCATACATAAAGTTTTATTTTTTATTCCATTTTAGTACCCGTTAAAAAATTAACAAGTTTTTTTTGGGGGGGGGGGGAATGAACATTTAAATACTAAAACGGATCAAAACTAATAGTATAGGTACTACAGGCATAAAAAAAACTAAGCATTAGATATGATTTTAAAAAAATAGAAATTGTACTAAAACATATCAAAACTGATAGTTAAGTATTATGCAATTTGTCTAATTAATAATATTAATATTTATATATATTTTTAGGGTTAATTACTTCAAATGTCACTTTAAGCTCTGACTCGTTTATACTACTAACGTTTCAATTTTACCAATTTTAGCACTAATATTTGCTTTTAAGTGCAATTATATCACTCAGTCATTAATGATTTAACGACACGATGACATAGCAGCTCCGCGCCGTAACGTTGTTGACGTGGATGCCTCACCAAAACGCCGTCATTTTGACACAACTATTTTGATGCTCAATAAACACAAAACGACTCCATTTTGCTTGATTTTTTTTATTGAAATATTGTAGTTAAGGGGATTTGAACCCGAAACCAATGAAAATTGTTTTAAATGCTTAACTGCTGGGCTACCTAAAGTTTTTTGTTACTTTTTCTAACAAAATTTTAAAAATGTTTGTTCCCTTAAGAAATTTTTGTTCCAAACAAGAGAACTTATCATCCTCGTTCATAGCAGAACATGAAATCATGGTTTCTTGATTACTCAACGTTGAGAATGAACTCAAGTGTTGCTTCTTCACATCATCATCATCATCATCATCTGCTTTGTTTTACTATCAAGTCAAATCGAAACTCTAGCTGGACTTCAACAAGAATCAATTAGTAGAGAAGCTTCTTAGATTGAAGAAGAAATATAGGACCGTGATGAGTAAGATCAGTTCAGGTAAAGAATTTTCCTTCAATACCCCTCATCATCAAGCTACTTCTGAAATTTTCAGTAGGATCTGGAGTAATATAGTTGGCAAAGTAGAAGATAATGATGAAAATAACAATAATAAAACTAGCTTAATAGACGAAAGTCGAGAGAAAAAAAAATTTACACCGAAATCAACTGCCATTAAGAAAAGGGTTAGAAGTAAAGGAGTGAAAATGGAGAAGAAAGGAGTTTTAAACGATGGAACTCTTATTACCAATAGTAACTATAATGTTAGGACTAATAATGCTAATGATAATGGTAATATAGAAGGATTTGGTGGTGGTGGTGGTGGAGGAGTTAATGTGGAGGTGGGGGTCGTTGAGGAGACTGTGAAGAGTTGTTTAACACCAATGTTCAAGGAGTTGTTAGGTAGTGTAATGGGAGGTGGGAGGAGGGGGATATGGAGGAAGAGGGATTAGTCAGTTGGCTATGAATGCAATGCCGTTAGGTTTTGAGGGAAGTTTGAATTTCGGTAGCGGTGGGGGTAATGCAGAACCGACAGACGAGAGGTGGAGAATGCTGCAGATTTTGGAGTTGGAATTTTATTTGAAACGGTTGGAGATGGTGCAAGACCGTATTTAAGGTAGCCCAGCGATTAAGAATTTAGAATAATTTTCATGGGGTCTCGGGTTCAAATCCCTTTAACTACAATATTTCAATAAAAAATTTCAGACAAAGCGACTTCGTTTTGTGTTTATTGAGCAACAAAATAACTGTGTCAAAACGACGTTGTTTTAGTGAGACATTCACGTCAGCAACATAACAGTGCGGCCCTTAAGCAGAGTGATATAATTATATTTAAAATCACTAAAATTGATAAAATTAAAACGACGAGTTAACTCTTAAAGGTTAATGGTATTTGAACTAATTAATCCTATTTTCTAATATAATATAAGATTTTTATGTAATTAAGGTTAAGATCCTAGCTCGAGTTCAAATTAAATATGAGAATGTTTCGAATTCAAGTTCTTTCGAGCTCGAGTCAGATTTTAATTTTTTATTTTGAGTTCAAGTTAAGCTTAACAATTTTAAGATTTAGTTTTGGAATCTAAGTCAAGCTTAGCTTTGAACTTTTTCGAGTCAAACACGACCCGTTTACAGCCCTATTGAGATGGTATCCTAACCTTTACTCTTTCGCGATATGCCTGGTCAATTAGCCTTTTCCTCTCATTTCGATCAGCTGTAGATAAAGTAGATTGGCTTTTTGTCAAAGCTCTGGCACCAGAAGTGTTTGGAGACTGCGATGCGTGGACTGTGCTTCCATTAATCTCGTTCAGGGTAACACCACTGCTTACTCCGGGTTGATTTTGCTGGTACGTTAAAGATCCTTGATTCGATGTTTGTAGCTGAAAAAAAGATTGAAATCAGACCAAATTTGAATACAAGTGGAATCTCAGTAACCAATCAAATCACTACAAGTTATGTATTCTATATATTTAGAAGAAGAAGAAATGAAGAAAAAACTCATGAAAATCTTACATTTTGTTCATCGTGATTAGATAAGCTAGAAAGAAACTGCTCCAAAAAGGGATCCATGGATCGTATCGTCTCGGCAACAAAAGAAATAAAGAGAAATCGAAGCACGAATGCCGTATTTAAAGCGAGAGAGTGGTGATTTGCGACTTCGCCATCGTCGTGCCGATGGGGTCGTGGACTTGGCGATACATCGTGGATATAGCGTTCGAATCGCGCGACTTTCTTTCGTGATTGGACCTTGGGGAAAAAGAAAGTTCTGGAGATTCCGTTTGAGCTGATCGACTAAGATTGAGATGAACATCGCCAAGCCCATATTATCAAATCTGCTGGGCTTGGACTGGTATTTAACTCTCAAATGTTGGGATTCAATTTATTTTTAGGGTAAATTACGAGTTTAGTACTTAATCTAATAATTTTATTCTATTTAAGTACTTAAACTTTTAATTTTTTAAAAAATTATACTTGAAGTTTAGTTGTTTCATTTTAGTATCTGCTCAAAATGTAACGTTAAATTTTGAAAAGAGAATTGAAAGTTTATATACTAAAACAGATCAAAACCGATAATTTAAGTACTAGACTATCGGATCCGGCTTTCGGTTGGGCCTGGAAATTGGGCTTCGACTTGGATTAAATGAATTGGAGTCGCCACCGACCACTTTAAAACGAATTTAGGTGGGCCGGACACCATCTTACCTGATCCGCGTTTCACCAGAAATATGTCGGGCTCGGGAGTCGGTTACGGTCAAGGAAGGATTAGCACCCTTGAACCGCCCTTTCGGTACCAATTAATTCACCGGTTGTCTTTAATTACGAAAATGGAAATTTAAATAAAGATTTAAAATATTCGGTTCAAATTACTTACCTTTGATTGATTGATGTTATTACTAAAAATATTCAAAAAAAGAAATATCAAAAAAAAATGATAATTAATTAATAAGCAAATCAAAGGAAAAAATATTAGAATAAAAATGTGACAAAAGAAGCAAATGTTAGATTTCAAAAAAAAAATGGAAACAATATGTAAAAATAATAATAATAATAATAAACATAATAAAAAGAGAAGGAAATCAAAATAATAATGATAGAAATAAATTAAAATAAAATAAAATGAAATAAAATGAAAAAACGGGATAAAAATGTTAACAAGGACTAAAATGAAATAACTTAAAATATTATGACCAACATGAAACATATGTAATTATGATAAAATAAACCACTAGTGACTGAAATATAACTATTGAAAGATGCACGCCTGAAATAGAAAATTAAAACTTCATTCAGTGACTAAACAAAAATTACAGGGAATGAAGGACCAAATGTGCGGTTTTCCCCCAAATGCTTGAAAACACGGGGGATAGAGGCCAAACGGCGTCGTTTCGTTTGGTAGCAAAACGACACCGTTTTGTTTTCGAATATTTAAGCCCGAAAAAGGCTTTTTCCTTTGCATTCTCTTTATTTCTTCTTTGCTTCCAGAAAGAGAAGGGAGAGAGAGTTCAGACTCTCTCAACTTTCCTTCATCGGGGAAGAGAGCCAAAGCGAGCTACGGCGTCGCACGGCGGCGCCGGTGGCCGGAACTAACCCAAACGCACCCAAAGACGCCCTCTCTCACCCTTGACCTGAAACCAAGTTAGTTTCGCCAAAAAACGTCCCTAGACGTGTAGATCTAGGAATACCTTTTAAAAAACCCGCGTCGCCGGTGACTTTTGGCGTTCCCGTTGCTTCGCACGGTGGTGATCTCTCTTTTTCTCGCTCTGGTTTTATTTTGGTTTATTTTGATGATTATATGTTGATCTCTCGATGATGGTATGATGTTTTGTTTACGTTTTCTGGTTACGGGCTCTCTGGTTTACTGTTGGCCGTTTGTGGTCTGTGGGGGTTTGGTAATGGTTGATTGTTGGTTTTTTTCTGATATGTTGAGATGGATTTCTTCTTCGTTTGTTTTCCTCGGTTTTGTGTTCTCTCCGATGATGTGTTTTACGGTTTCGTTTCTGGTATGTGATGGCTCGATATTCTGGCAGCGTTCTCGGGGGTCCCCCCTGTTCATGTCTCACCGGGGCTTTTATAGCCCCGGTGGGTGGTTGTTGGCCCCGAAATGAGAGGGTCGTTCCGGTTTCCCCGTGCATGTCATTTTGATACCGGCTATCCCGGGATGGGTCAGTCCCGGGATTTCCGCCGGCCGTTTTGCACCAGTCCCCTTGATTCTCTCCTTGCGGCGCTGACTGTGTGGTTCCCTTAAGCAGGAAACCCTCATCTGTTTGGGCTGGTTCAGGCCCGTTATATGGACTATTGGACTGGACCTGGGACAAAATGAGAAAGGAAGAAAAGAAAAAAAATAATAAATAAATAAAAATAAGTAATAAATTAAAAATAAAAATAAATAGTAATAATATTATATATATAAACGTTTTCAAAAACATATAATATATAAATTTTTAAAATGTTTTAAAAAACTATATATTATATATATTTTCAAAATGGTTTTTAAAAATTATATATTATATAAATGTTTTCATAACATTTTCAAAAGTATATATTATATATTTTAAAAACGTTTTCAAAAACTATATATTATATAATTTTCAAAAAAATATATTTTCAAAATGGTTTTTTTTAAAAATTATATATTATATAAATGTTTTCATAACGTTTTCAAAAGTATATATATATATTTTAAAAACGTTTTCAAAACTATATATTATATAATTTTCAAAAATATTTGAAAAACTATATAATATACATATTTTCAAAAAATGTTTTAAACTATATATTATATATGTATTTTCAAAAACAATTTGCAAACTACATAATATATATGTGTATATATGTATAAAAAAAATGGACGGAAATTAGTGTCTACAGCTGCCCCTCTTTGTCCTTTTTCGTGGAACGAAAAATAGGACAAAGACAAAAGGACACAAATTTTCGCTCTTTAAAGTTGAAAAATTGACTCTGAAAGAATAACTCCCTGTCGAATCAGGTTGCGGATGACTCCTCCTTCGCGAATTCGAAATGACACGGAATTGAAACCGTAGCTCGAAGTTTGAATCGGGATGTGGCTTCTCGTTGCCCAATTGTAGTCAACCTCGGTCTTCTTCCCGGATTAAAGACCTTGGTTAAAATTCGACTGGAAAGTAGTCCTTGACTCCACCATGTGATAGACAGGCCCTTGAGCTGAATAAACCGAACTCGAAAGGTCCTCGTCGACATATGGCTTTTCTCGGCTTAAACTATGTTACCGAAAAACAGTTTCTTGTCACTAAGGCACGGTTAACCAAGGTCTTCTTCTCGACTTGAAAAACTTTGATTGCAGCCGACAGTAGTGTGATTGAGGTATCATCGAGCTGAATAGAGTCGAACTCGACAATTTTATTGACAAATAGCTCTTCTTGCCTTGAGCTATGTTGTAAATGATATGACCCCGAAGTTGAGTGTAATCGAACCCAGGGGTCTTTGGCAGATAGCCCTTCTCGACTTAAGCTATGCTGCAAATGATGTGCCGTTGAGCTGAGCGTAGTCGAACTCAAAGGTCTTTTGTTGGCAGACAACCCTTCTAGACTTAAGTTGTACTGCAAATGATATGCCTTGGAGCTGAGCATAGTCGAACTCGAAGGTCTTTTGTTGGCATAGCCCTTCTCGACTTAAGCTACACTGGAAATGATGTGCCGTTGAGCTGAGCATAGTCGAACTCAAAGGTATTTTGATCACAGCTAACCCTTCTAGCCTTGAGTTATGCTGTAAATGTATGCCCTTGAAGCTGAGTGTAATCGAACTTAAGGGTCTTTGGCAGATAGCCCTTCTCGACTTAAGCTATTCTGCAAATGATGTGCCTTGGAGCTGAGCGTAGTCGAACTCGAAGGTCTTGTGTTGGCAGACAACCCTTCTAGACTTAAGTTGTGCTGCAAATGATATGCCTTGGAGCTGAGCATAGTCGAACTCGAAGGTCTTTTGTTGGCAGATAACCCTTCTCGACTTAAGTTATGCTGCAAATGCCTCAAAGCTGAGTGTAATCGAACTCGGGGTCTTTGGCAGATAGCCCTTCTGGCCTTGAGCTAAGCTGCAAATAGTTGTGTTTAAAAATGGCTTCCCTTTACGGGTCGAAAACGGTCATGACTCTTCGGTGGTTCCCCTAAGCTGGTCTAGGAAAACCTACGGATAAATTCTGACAGCCGGATATCTTTCGTCGTGGAATTGAAATCTGGCTTGAAAGTGTTAACTGAAAACATATTGCTCATTGTTGAGTTGAGTGAACTGAATTTGATCTGAATTGGTTTCTCGACCCATCTGAAATTGGTTCTGAGATCTGTAGTTATGTAAGTCGCTTGAGGTGTAGCTTCTTGCTGCTGAGTTACACCATCGTTCTTTAAAGGTGCTTGCAAGTAGAGTAACCTTCATCCTGAAGTCGAAGCTTGACTCTGAAAGCCCATTTGCTTCTCGAGCTTGGGCTTTACAGACATTTCATATCTGAGATTGTTCTGTTTGAAAACGTTTTGTTTCAGGAGAGAGAAATGTAAGGTATTGTTCGCAATTGAATCAAATTGTAAATGGAGTTCAAAAAATATCAAAGGAATCAAGAGCTCTTTTAATGCTTCAGAGTTACAAATCTTGACAAATGTTCAAAGGGACAAGTCGGCTTTAGGTTGGCTCCTTTCTAAGGTTTTTTTGATAAAAAAAATGTCATTTTTTAAAAATCACAACATGCTTTGACACTTTAATTGGGTGCGGTCAAAATGCCAACTAGCATGATCAATTACTAGACCTTTATCTCAGTCCTCTGAAATCTTTCATTTGTTCAAGCTTTGTAGGCTCTTCTAACAAAGGCAGTGCAAAAAATTCGTCTAAAAATGAAATTCTTGAGTGCTTGTGTGTAGTCAATATAACAGGTGTTCCTTAACTCCCTTAGTCCAACATTACCGAAAATTTCTATTTTAGATAAATTTCATTTACTTTGCCATTGTCTGGCTAGCAAAATCCATAAAGCGGGGCGTTCAACCAATTGCTTTAGAGGGACAGCTTAGTATTATAATCACTTTTATCAGGTTTAACTGAAGGGTTCGTCTCATAAAGTCTTCAGCCTGACAAAGCAGTGAGCAAACACCGAATTGCCAAGTTTTCGAGCAATGTCATGGTTTGAAAGTAATCTACTCATAAGGCCAGGGCTTTCAAGTTTCCTCTATAACCAATTGCCTTAGTGGAATAGCTCAGTTTTTACGGATTTAATTTC